TACCACTGCTTGCTAATTTAGCCTTTTGCAGACAGACATGGGTTTAATTGTTTCTTTAGTTCTGTCTTTCATTTCTGACATTTCTTTATTTTATTTTTTTTAAGAGATCTTGGCCCTGAAACCAAAGAGCTCAGAATAAGGCTGGTGGAGCGGAGCGGCACCAGGGAACGTAAGGAAAAGCTCAGTACTAATTTGGTCCTGGCTGCTGTCCACAAACCTGATCAGCAGCATTGTTTAGATTGCTGAAGCAAAAATGCTCAGCTGGCAGACTCACTGTAATGATCTTTGTCAAAAGCTGCACTCAAAATGACCTTTAGTTGTGTGTTTAAAAAAAAAAAAATTATTAAAAAAATTATGATTTATTTATTTATTTTTATTTTTTTGTGCTAAATCCTGATAGAGTTTCTTCCGGGTCACGCTTCTGTTGCTTGGAGCCTCCAAAGCAAAGTTCCCACTGGACAACATGTTCTGTTTCTAAGCCCCGGTGATGGCTTATCACCCGATGCCACCATCACAGCTGAGGTGAGAGACGAGAAGGAAACGGTTTCTGGGATTTTCTCAAAGTTTAAAATATTAACAAATTTAACAGCACAGTGAACTATCCATTTATCAGTGTACTGCTTGTAAACAGCTTGTTTTAATAAAGTTTGAACTCCTTTAGACATTTTTTTGCAGCAGAAGTCAGTTACTTGTTTATTTTCTTTCTGCCAGCTGCTGTATGTAGAAACCGAAGAGTTGTCCAGTTCCCATAATGCTTTGCCAATCCGCTCCTCCCTCACCCCCACCAAGAAAGTGGACGTGGACCGAACCGTCATGCCGGACGGAACCATTGTCACCACCGTCACTACCGTCCAGTCTCGAGTTAAACTCGACCGCAGCCCAGGTGAGCCAACAGGAAGATGATCTGTTGTTCTGAGGTGGCGAACGAGTTTTAATCCATTTGGTGCCTTGCAGGGGATTCCCCGCTGTGTTCACCTTCCAAAGTGGAGATGAACGAAAATAAAGCCACGGTTTTGACTGACGACAGAGGCAGCAGCAGCCCCAACCCGAGCAGTGAGTCCCAAACTGAAAACCAGATATTGTTTTACAAAACAGATGCAAAGCAGGATAAGCAGCACTTTTCGGCACACCTGGGAAGGTGCTTCTCTTCACAACCCTTATGGTTCTTTTAGGAGTTTAACATACAAACTTTCTACAAAAGACCCATTTTTAAAGGTTGTCTCATGCCACAAGTGTCAATTTCACAATGTGTCTGAACACTGATTTCCACATTTGTTGTTTTTCGCAGGGAGCAGTCGCCTCTCTAATGGCCTGGATCCTGTTGCAGAGACAGCGATTCGGCAGCTGACGGAGTCTGCATCTAAAATGGCACGGAAGACGCCGACAAAGAGGAGCACACTAATCATCTCTGGGGTGTCAAAGGTCAGAGAACGGACACCGCGTCCTGCTGAATTTGTCCCGTTGCCAAATAAAAGCCACAAACGAAAAGGTTTCCCTCCACCTTTCAGATACATCCCACCTTTGTTTCCACTCAGTTCGTTTAGATTAAAGGGCCCAGCATACTCGGTCCGAAGCCGAGCATTTGATTTGCGGTCATGTGGTTGCGGGATGTTCGTTTAGGCGCACACCTTCATAGTCTACGAGACACACAGCACAGAGCTCCTGGGAAACCTCTCCCGCTGCAGTATACGTCACCGCGCGGGTTTCTTCCTGCATGGCATCAAATCTCTCATGAAGGAAGCGCCACATGTTTCAGCAGACAGACTCCAGATGTCTGCACGATGTCCATCCAGGAGTCTTTGACCATTTCACTAATTTAGTGTTTCAACGGTCGTACAGCTGAATGTCTGGGCACATTTCTGCACTGACGAACACGCCCACGAACTTCTGACCAGTACACAATACTTGGTGCATACGCCCTGTGAGAAGAACTTCGGTACGGGTCTGTGTTGAGAAGAATCAGGCAAAGCTGCAAGAACAAAATGACGTGATTTTCATCACACACCTGCATCAATGAGATACAAATTTCTCTTATTGCTCTGATTTTTTTTTTTTTTTTTTTTGTCAGAAAGAAATTGATCACATCTAATGGAAGAAATCTCAAATTCGGTTCTGAATGTGGCTGGGCCTTAGAGCTCCACATGGAATATAAAAAGTAATGACACAGAGCCAGGCAATACGAGTGTGATCTAAATATAAACCACAATCGCAGCTCCCCCGTTGAACCACTTTATCGTAGAATGAGAGCCTTCTGACCTGATTTTTGCCTGAAGATCTGCAGAAATCCTCAGAGAGTGTGTGTGTGTGTAAAGGCAGTGCTTTTGACACAGATTTACTGGAATTATTGGACCCTTTTTATGTTAAACTTAAGTATACAGACAATTCCAAGAGTGTATAAAAGGAATTGATTTACATTTACTCATTCAAACATTATTTATACAGGTTGGTCTCATTGAGCCTTGAGGACTCATTTACAAGAGAGACCTGTTTTCAACAAAGAATGATGACAACAGGAGACGGTCGTAAAAGAAAGCTTATAAATTGAGAAAAAAATAAATGAAAGAAAATTATATTTAAAAAACTAAACAAAAGCAGATACCGTATTTTCCGCCGTACACGTTGCATCAGTCCAAATATGTCTAGTAAAGTGGATAAATCCATAAATACATCGCTTTGACGAATACGTCATATCTATTATGCGTCACCGCTGACAACCCATGTGTTGTGCCAAAAATTGATTGGCTGCCACATGGCGACCGTGGGAGCGTACACGGGAGGACTCTCTGCTTTTCTTCAAAATTTAACAAAATAACCACCTAAAAACAATTATTTGTTTGCTCGAAATTATAGCAAATGTGTGTCTCAGTCTAACTTTTTCTTAATAAATGTACTTTGACGATCAAATCAGCTGCATTTCAAAAGCCGATACGCGGAAGCAGGAGCGTGCATGGGAGAACCCACTGTGCATTTCTTCAAAATTTAACAAGATAACCACCTAAAAACAATTATTTGTTTGCTCGAAATTATAGTAGAGGTGTGTCTCAGTTGCACTTTTCCTTAATAAATGCACTTCTATGGTCAAATCAGCTTCACTTTGCCGGTGCGGTGCAGCGAATTGAAGCTGGTTTGACGTTTGCTCCAGGCATGATCCCTGAGCTGGATGAAGGTGGCAGGCTATGGCAAGTGTCATTAATAGCCACTTTTACCTATTACATGACACAACAGCATGCCATAATACTCGAGTGCCATCTAGTGGCTGAAAATGGTAGTGTTCAATATTTTCAGTCAGAATGAATGAAAACGGTCATATCTCAGATAAAAATTGGTTTTAAATATGGAAAAAATCCATAAATAATTCACTTCAGCGTATAAGTCGCAGGGCATGCAAATTATGCAAAAAAAAAAAAGACATATTGGCTGAAAAATGTGGTATATTGTAAAGTGATGTATACCTTGTATGTATTAAGATAAAATGCATTCACTTTAGTTTTAGTGACACATCCTCTGATTCTCATCAGATTCCACTCGGTGAGGATCACTGCACGTTATCAAGCGGCTACGCAGCGGCCATGGACGCAGCCGTGCACGGCAACCACTACAGGACAGGCCAACACCAGGACCCGGATGAAACCACACCCTCCGACGTGTCGGAGCGTCCCTCTGTGGATGATGTGGAATCTGATACTGGTTCCGCTGGGGCCTTGGAAACCCGCAGCCTGAAGGACCATAAAGGTAACAGACTGCTGACCGGAGCGAGACGTGAAATCGTTGCTGGAACACAAAATTAAGCAAGTTAAATATTCGTTTTGCAAATTGGAAGAATCTTTTTCTGTCCCTAAAGCGTACATTGAATAATACATTTTAATAATTCTAAAAAAAAGTTGAGTCCGGTCCTCTGGACGGATTCTTCTTTATTGAAAAGTTTCGTTTTTTTATCCAGAAGACTTCTTCAGTCTGAGGAGCTGCAACAAACTGTCTTATAAGCATCAAATTCTCATAAACAGCTTTGCCATTAATAAGTGTGGCTCCCCTCGGCTCTCTTCTTGGTTCTTCTCATGTGCAGTTTGCCACTACAGTGGAGGCTGACCTGTTTCCTGCTCTGTGGGCGGGATCATAACTGGTCTTTTTGTGTTTGAGCCACTCCGCCCGTTGTGGTCCTTAAATAATTGGACTTAAATTTTGTTAGCTTATCCCAGCACTGCTTATAAGTCTGGGTGTAGTCATGCTGTGCCATCATTTCCAATATCTCTCTGTAAATGTGCTTAATTCTTGAGGAACTATCCGTCAACATGATGGGGACGTGGAGGTTCAGATGTAGTTTGCAGTTTTGCTGGATGAGTCATTCAGTGACATAGCTCCGCTGGCCATTCAATGGTGGTCCCATAAACCAGGCTTTTATGGGACCACCTTGTGGATACCAGCAGTGGGCAGGCCCTTAACTGGTGCTGTGTAACAGTGACTGAGCTGACAGCGCCCTCTGGAGGTTGTACTGCTCCATGTACTTCAGATTATTTAGAAAACTCTATTTTGAACATTTAAACATACAGCTGAATTAAAACTGAAACGTAGTGTGTGAATATGTGTTCAACCCACTAAAGTAAATCCTTTTTGCAGCAGTAAGCCTCTTCACATGTGTCTCCATGAGTTGGCACACGACCAAACTGCTCCCGATCCTTCAGGTTCGATGGGTGTGTCACGGGTGCAGCAGTTTATCCATCCATCCATTATCTTTACCCGCTTCTTCCTTTTCGGGTCGCGGGTCCAGCCATCACTGTGCGAGAGGCAGGGGACGCCCTGGACAGGTCTCCAGTACATCACAGAGACACATCAAGACAAACCATTCACTCACACACCCACGCATGCACGGAGAGAGCATGCAAACTTCACCCAAAAAGGCCCCCGGACTGGGATTTGAACCGGGGACCTGCTCGCTGAGAGGCAGCAGCTCGACCAGTTGTGCCACCGTGCTGCCCTGCGACAGTTTATTTTATATTTTAATTTTTTACACCAGAGTTCAGAGGTCTGGACCGGGCCATTCCAGGACATTTAACAGTTTGTCCTTGAACCATTGGTGTGTGGTGGTAAAGCAGTGATGTCATCACATCAGTCATTTAGTTAGTAGATGGATCTAGTTTTAGTTTATACAACTCTGCAGTGATGTTTTGTATCGTTTGCTTCCTGCAGTGGGTTTCCTCCAGAGCGGCTCGAAGCTGTTGTTCCGCAGAAAACGCCGAGAGAAGGAGCCCTGCCTCAGCCAGTCCCACGAGGACATTTCCAACATGGGCAACAACTTCGCCGCCCCAGCCACGAGCAGCAGCCGTAAGAAGTCCGGCAGCTTCTCCCACCGTCTCATCAAGCGCTTCTCCTTCCGCTCGTCCGGCAAATCGAAAGGCAACGCCTCCGCCACGAACGGAGGAGCAAACTCCGTGGAGAACTGATCAGGAGGGCCGGCGGAGCCCAAGAAGGGAAAGGCTTCATCACTTTGTGGGTCGTCTTTACAAGAGGATGCTGCTGGGAGGGATCCTCTTTAACGCCCCCTCGGTACTGAAGTCAGGTGTGACGGGTCCAAACTGAGGAGATGAACTTCACTTTCTGCGAGGAGAATAATCAGCAGCTCTGTGGGAAGGAAGGAGTCACTACGATGAAACACTTTGAGCATAGTTTGAACACAAACTAGCATTTAATCGAGACCGGGGGTGGAAATGATCAATTTAATGATGTAGATGCACTTTGGACTGATGGGGTGTTTTTTTTTGGTAACAGCACATATGATTTTTTTCTTGGTTGTAAAAAGATAATTTATAAAACGTGCTATTTATTTTATGTCACCAAAAAGTCATCCTAGCTGCGTTGCACTGTAAAATAGTGACTTAGGCGTTCTTTTCTATGCAAATTTAATTTTGAAGTCATCATTTAATTAAGTTAAGATAAATCGATCAATCTGTGCCGTGTTGTTGCAATTGCTTTAAAGATGCTTCATGTTTTATCTCGTATGGAATAAATCAAAAAGGGATGGTATATTTCTGTTAGTTCTGTGTGAGGAAGTTGCCTTTCTGTGGGACATCGCGACAGCTAATTCGATCAGCCAGCATCTCTCAGACTTATGTTGGGCAATAAGTTTAAAGAAATCAGAACACAATCCGGTCCTGCTGACTTGATGCAGATAGAGGCAACACTTTTAATACTTCACAGAAAACACGTTTTAAAGGAAGCGCTGCTGACGTTTGGTCAGTTTATCACGCGGCAGGTCATCCTGAGGAGAAGCTGTCTCAGGGCTGGAAACTCAAATCAGCAGCTAAACACGTAAAACCTGCTGCTTCCATTAAAAACTAACAGAACCAATACATAAAAACTACATTTTTTGGGGGTTATTTGTGTTTTCCTTTGGAACATAAGAACATGCTTTGAGTGACTGCAATCATTTTGAGACCTGGAGATAATTTAATTTGTTTTTGAGCAGAAACGTTAAAACGACCCCAAACGTGGCTGCTGTCGTATCAACACGCCACAAAACGGCACTGAAAGCACACTGTAAAAATACACAATGTATATAGATGTGAAACAGAGTGGCTGCTAAATTTAGGATGTGTAAGACCCGTCTTCTTTTAAAAATGTAATTTCTGCAAATAAATTATTTTTCAAGCGGTTACGTTGTCTGTGCACTTTACTGTGGACTGTGAAAGAAAGTTTTATTGAGCTGCTTGGGTCGAACCCCAATTTTTATTAATGTCTAAAATTAACTAAATGAATTCCTGAACTTATCCTTAAGAGATAAATATGTAAATCTTAATGACTTTTATTTTATTTGCATTTCCAGTTTTATTGCTTTTAGAGTCTGGGTCGCTACAGGAGCTGTTTTTACAGAAGATATGTCAACCCACTAGTACAGAAGAAGATTGGAGCCACAGCAATAAAACAAAAAACATCAGAGTTCTTACTTTAATCTTCGGTTTTTGACTTTATTCTCAGAATTCTGAGGGGAACAAAGTAATCTTGAGATTGGAGTCAAAATTTTGAAGAAAGAATAACAGTGGCCCTAATCCTCATCCTCATGCTAATATGCTGTACTAATATTTTATTAATAAACAGTAAAATGTGGCCCTGTGGTTTCTGGGTCCTTGTACACTTAAATAATGCCCGACTGTTCTCATGTTCTTACGCTTTAAGACTATTTAAACTTTTCATTCCATCCTGCTTGGCCTGTTTTATTTTTTGTTTTAGTGTCTTCAAAGCTAAAAAAAAGTCTGAAACTGTATAAAACGTTATAAAAGTCTGGAAATGTGCATATTTAGTTGTAATATGGAGGGACACAGAGACAAATGAGACAACCATTCACTCTCACTCACCTAGAGACAATTTAGAGTTACCAATCAGTCTAACATGCATGTTTTTGATCTGTGGGAGGAAACTGGAGTACCCAGAGAAAACACACACATGATGGGAGAGAACATACAAACTCCACCTACAAAGCTTCATGTGGAAAATATGGTAAGGAAACTGAAAGTGAAACTGGGTTTCTTTATCAGAAACAGATCCTGTCTAACTCTGAATGCTAGGAAACGCCTTGTAACTGCAACTTTCCTTCTCTCCATTGACTACGGTGACATTGTCTATATGTACGCTCCTACAAGAACCCTGCAGATGCTGGATGCTGTCTATCACGGTGCACTAAGATTCATAACTGGTTATAACTACCGTACCCATCACTGCACCCTGTATTCACTGGTTAATTGGTCATCATTAACTTCACACAGACTCTCCCACAGGTACATTTTCATCTTTAAATCACTTCTTGGTGTGTTGCCTTAAAAAAAAAACATGTCTCTGCATGAGTGCAGCTACAGTGTGCGCTCTCAGGACATGATTACATGCAGTGTCCCCTCAGTGAGGACTGAACTAGGCCTTCTCCTACTCCTCACCTGTTTCCTGGACTATCTTGCAAAAAGATCTGAAGCTCTCGACCTTGACCTCTCTAAGTGACTTTAAGTTCCTGGCAAAAACCAATGCAGACATGTTCCTGTTTTTAGTTTTCTAAATCACCTTATAATCTAGCTGTTTTTTTGCTACTCCTCCTCTTGATTGTCCTTTTAGTTGCAATTTTGTTTCTATTTGTAAAAAAAAAAGAGATACTTAAATTTGTATGCCTATTTTATGACCGTCTACTGTTGTTATCCATTGTTGTCATCACTCTGTTAAGAAACCAGGTGTCTCTTGTAAATGAGTCCCCGAGGCTCAATGGGATTAACCTGTCTAAATAAAGGTTGAATGAAAAAATGGTGGAAATAGAAGTATAAAAAAAATTTATTACTGAATGCCCATTTTTTAATCCTAAAACCATAACCTGCATGTGTGGATCTGTGTGGATTTTTTTTAGGTTTAAATTAGTTTTAAAAATAATTAGAATAACTTCCAGCACATTATTTTATTAAATAATTCTGTCTCATGGCTGAAACATGTTAAAGTGCCTCGTGGTCTCTCAGAAGTGCAGATTAGGATATAATTCAATAGTCTATTGTAGTCAGTACCAAATTTTTATACATTTATTTCATATTTTCACTGTATTTTAATGCAGTTCGCTAATTTAAAGCGCCAAAAATTTCAAAGCTGGAGGGAAGACAGTTGATTGGTGTTCCCTGTCCGCCTCTTCACACGTGACCACTAGAGGAATCAACCAATCGGATTTGTCAGTTCTCCATATCTCTTCGTGATTGGTTTACCGCGGGGACAGTTAAATTACTTGTCACGTACTTCCGGGTATCTGTGGCCACCTAAGCCAATCATATTAGACTATTTTCTAAACCGTCCAATCATAGTTTAGGGCGGGACAAACTGTGGGGTTTATATCCAGGTCATCCGTGCGTCTTTCACATTTCGCCTAAACTCTTTATCTGGTTTGCTCGTAGAAGAAGTCATCTGAATAATGTCTGGAAGAGGTAAAACCGGAGCTAAGGCCCGTGCCAAGGCTAAGACCCGCAGCTCCCGCGCTGGTCTACAGTTCCCCGTGGGCCGCGTCCACCGTCTCCTCCGCAAAGGTAACTACGCCGAGAGAGTAGGAGCCGGAGCCCCGGTTTACCTGGCCGCCGTCCTCGAGTACCTCACGGCCGAGATCCTGGAGTTGGCCGGCAACGCCGCCAGGGACAACAAGAAGACCCGCATCATCCCCCGCCACCTGCAGCTGGCCGTCCGCAACGACGAGGAGCTGAACAAACTGCTCGGCGGCGTGACCATCGCTCAGGGCGGGGTGCTGCCCAACATCCAGGCCGTCCTGCTGCCCAAGAAGACCGGCCAGTCCACACCGAGCTCCGGCAAGGCGGGAAAGAAGGCCTCCTCTCAGTCTCAGGAGTATTAGCTGCTGCTAACGCTGAACCCAAAGGCCCTTTTCAGGGCCACCCCACCTCCACAAGAGCAGTTTCCTCTTCACACCAACCTCTGCTTTCATTTCTGGAATCTGACTCCAGTTTTTGTCATCAAATGAGCACTGTGACTGCAGCTGATGGACAAAGCAACTTTCACTCACCTATTTTCTGTGTTTTCAAGAAACCTTTTGCCTTCAGTCACTTAAATAAAACTCAAATTTGCTCTAAATCAAGTTTGGTTTCCTGTAGGTTTGCACCACAAGATTGAATTAAACTAAAACGCATAATTTTGAGGCTGATTTTATGACCCCAGCATGTGATCTTTGGGACTTGTGTAGGTGACCTAGATGTTTGTGTGGTTCCAACCCTACACATGTTCTAACGGTTTCTGCTCCAGGTGTTTCCTTTTCACACACGTGAGCACGAAGATCTGATGAAAGTAGCTTGACAAAATTAAAAGGGGTAACATTCAAACTTATTACTGATACTTTACATTACAATTTGACCATTTTAATTCTGTATTAACTCTTTAATTGATTAATTTTTCTGGCCTGACTTGCATTTCCTGCAAGTGTCCTGCCTAAACATCTCCTTGGATGATGAAAGACCTAAAACCATCGTCCTTCAACATTTTGCTGTAAATTGCTGGTGTTGAATCAGACGGTCATACTGTGCTAAAGTTTACTGAGTTTAGGAGCCTCTTCCTGCTTGAATGACTCGATCAATGGGTTTAATCAAACTAAATATCTTCTGATAACGGGTGCTAGTCCAGAGTTCTGCAACCTCTTGGATCTAAACAGTCGGTTCTGCCTCTTTCCTCAGAATAAAATGTGTCCAGAGCTGGAAAACCTGCTACAACTGGGATTGTCAACTGTCGGCCGCTTCATAGTTGGTTAGAGTGGGTGTTTTCAGCCAGTGGGGGGCTGACATCATTAAAAGTGAAAGTACATAATGAACACTTCTAGGGGTGCACCCGCCGATCCAGTTTCTAAAAAGTCTGACCTGCTGATTCTGATTTAGTTTTATAAGCGACACCGTCAGGTGTTATATGGTCACAATGCACCTTTAATTTCCCCAATCTTATTGATTGAAAAACAAACCCTTGAACAATATACAAACTTGTTTTAACTGGCCATGAGGTAGTGCTCTGAAATATGAATGAAGTTAAGACGATTCTTGTTGAAACTAAAGAAATCGGTTTCTCATTGACCGATTTCCCAAAATTAAGGAAATAGGGGCCGATTTTATCAGTGCACCCCTGGATACTTCATTTTAGAGAAAAGACTATTTAGGCCAAGAAGGGAAAAAAAAAGATAAAAACCACTTCAAACCAATTTTGATTAAAAAAAATTAAACACTGAACTCTGCAGGTCTATGTGAAGTAAACATTACTGGTAAGTGTTCTACTTTGAAGTAATAAATCACAGGGTTAACGTGGATTATTTATTTTGACTGTTCTCTTTATTTCTAATTCTTACTGTTGTCAAGCTGACCATGTTGTTCGAAACGATTGTCTTTAAGGTGTTCCTAAAGATCCCCCTGTACGGCTGGACGCTGGATCATTGTATTTTCTTCAGGGGGTCGCCACAGTGAACTAACTCGCATGAAGACTTGGCAATTATTTTATGCCCGGTGCCCTTCCTGATGAAACCACAGACCACCGAGCTACCACAGCCTTCTGTGTGGAGCAGAGAGCTGCCATCTAGGGCACCCTGGGGAGCAGATGGTGGGCTGAGGGCCCAGAGGAAAACAAATGAGGGTGGAGGCAAGTGTGGGCGTTTCACCTTTTCCACCCACATTTTGATGTCGGTCCAGGGAGTTGAACCGGCAACTTTCCAATCACAGGCCCACCTTCTCGAACCTCTGCACCACCACGTCCCGGGCTTCGGATGCATTAAGTGACTGCATTTATAGAAAACTGTTAAAACGAGCCTCTTCTGGTGTGCATAAAAACGATAAAATTCAATCTCATGTTCGTTAAGGTCGAAGCTTCAAAGAGCCGCAGGCTGCAGACCCCCTGGCTGATTGGAGGCAAAATATAAAGGACGCCTCAAGACTTGTGCACAGCACTGCTCCTTCCTGAGTGCTTTGCTAAAACTTTTATACATCCAAACAGTTTTTTTTTAATGTAGCACAAAGTGACAGAATAATGTGCAGTTCATAAGTTTGACCACCAGGGGTCAGTCTTCGTTTTGATGTCCTTTGGTGTCTTCGTTTAATCCGGAGGACTGCTCATCTGACCCAGGTAGTTCCAATAGATGAAAATCCTAAAAACCCAGAGAAGTGTGTCATCACCTCTGAAACCTCACCCTGAGGGTCCTGTTAGACCTCAGTGCTGCATTTGATACAGTTCATATGATAGTGCAATTACAGGAACGGCTCCAAATTAATTAAATCATATCTGATATCCATTTAGTAAATGTAAATAATGAAGCTTCCTCATACACCAAAGATAGTCATGGAGTTCCTCAGGGTTCAGTGCTTGGCCCAATACTTTTTACTTTATGTATGCTTCCATTAGGTAAAGTTATTAAACAGCATGGGATCATTTTTCATTGTTATGCTGATGATACATGACAGGTATACTTCCTGTGCAGGTGTGGTGTTTAATGTGTTAGAGATGCACGGCTGAAATCATTTCTTTCAGCAGGAGGCGAGCGGGCAAATATTTACGTTGTATAGACGATAAATGCGACGTGATGCAACAAGTCTGAGCCGAGTCCCGGACAGGCTGAACCAATTACCCGGGCCTTGATGACGTGTCCAACACCAACATCCAGCCAGGTCCAGATGGTCCTCAGAGGCTGGGATATTTATACGTTTCTAAACTGTCTTAAAAAAAGGAAGTCTGGCTCCTTAGAAGCAAAGTATTTCAGCTGCAAGACATTTTGACTCTACTGTTGTAACTTCATGGGTAAAAGAAGAGGAGTGTGAGGCACCTTTTGGTCATGGATTACAGTGAGGTAAACTTATTTTTAGTCAAGCCAACATATTTTCTGTCGTAAAATGTAAACTTTTCAGCTCAACTTTGTGAGAAAATAGACAGGAAAAGAAGAAGGTGGGTGGAAAGGGCTGGAAAGAGGGATGGACCTGGCAGAAGGATGAGTGTAGGCTCACCAAAATATTCACTTTGAAAAGAACTCAGCTGCAGAGGAGACCAGCGGAGACAACCTGGGAACGACTTTACACAAAACTGTTTGGGATGACGCCTCATCTTGTGTTTTTATTCTTTGGACTGGACCCAGCCGTGGAAAAGGAAATGCTCTCTGCCAGTTTGGGTAAATAGAAACAAAGATGTTTGCTCGTTCGGAGTGCGTCTGCTTGTTTTGTAGAGATGTAAAAAGAAAACTGACGGAGTTTGATCATCACGAGCACTTTTCTACTGTAATGGAGGAGCAGGTGGACTGGTTCCAGTTTGTGAATGAACACTTTCCTGTGAGGATCCAGCTCCTTTTGAGGGCTTCAGGTGTCGACTAATGTGCAGTGAGAAGAAGTTTAATCCTAACTGGGAGGTGCACACGTGCCTGACTGAGCATATTTTATTGGAAAATTCGAACACTGTCTAAACTGTGTTGATTTTGCACATAGCTGTGACAGATTGCAGAGCTGTGCGAGTTGAGTGGGCAGATGTCCCAAAGGCTTCAGTGCATCTGTTTTATGAGTTAATTAAATAAAAGATTTGAGCGTATTTAATGGTTTCGTGCTCCTTTCAGTCCACTTGTCTCAGAGCAGCACTGGGCTGAATGTAGTTTATGTTTTAAAGCAGAGGTTTAAAGTAGATCAAGTGCATTTAAACTGGTGATTTTCTCCCTCGCCAGTGAAAGGCTACAAACACGCCCTCCAAAAATATATATATAAATAAATAAAATATTTCTAACTCATTTAAATGTACAGCTTTTGAGCTAAAGCCTGGTGTGAGAATAGCTGAGCCTGATCCACAACACACGGTCTGAGGGCTGGCACAAGATCTTTGTTTAACCATTCAGAGTCAACTTCTTCTGTCTGTTAGCCAAACGGACAGAATTTTATGAAACTTTCAGAAAATTATCACTGGACAGCTCTTCAACTTTTGAAGCCGATCCAATTCAAGATGGCTGCTGCAGCCAACTGACTTTAGTAAACAAACAAAAATAAAAATTATACAGATCGAGCTAAAGTTTGGTGTGAGAGTCATTTTCAACTCACACACCAGGGGCTACTCATTGCACGAACTTTGCTTAAAACATTATTATTAACCGCTGGAATTAGTCCTGTCTGTGTTAGCAAAATATCTCAAGGAACACAGGAAGGAACTCAGTGAAACTTGAGCTGAGGATGACGACTAGGATCAAAGCTTTAATTTAAGATGGCCGCCACCTTAGCAGACACCGAAATGGCTACAACACTGGAGCAGAAAAGTAAATTATCTTTCAAATGTGGATTAATCCATAAAAAATTGCAAAGCCATTGCTGTGAGGTCATATTTTAAGACACATTAGCTAGCGCTGGTGGCCATCTTGAAATTTCAAGTGGTTAATGTACTTTTCAAAATAGACCTAAAGGGAACGTCTGAAAGTTTAATGTTTGCATTTAGATTTGAAATATTTTGCAGAATTCGGTCACTTATCTGCTCCACTAGAACCGAGTCCATCTTTCAGATACTGAGCCTCATTTTACTGTGGTAGTAGCTGAGAGTTATACGTTCTCATAAGTTTACCTTGGTCTAAAACACGGTCATGAAAGACATGGAGAGAATGTGTTGCACTATTTGGATCATTTTAAATCAAGTTATGGTTTTGAAATATCTGCAGATGTGTAGCTTTTTTCTACAGGATGGTCAGTTTTGTCCCAAGAAGTATTTATCATTCAGGTTGTCATCAGAGGTCCTATCAGAGAGTGGTATTCATGTGTTCCTGTTTCTATAGAAGAAGAGGTGATCAGTACCTGGTTCTTATCAGCCTCCAAACAGCCGGAGTGCGAATTAGTTTCTCTGAAGGAGAAAAGTGTTACCATCCCCTGCTCCTCCACCTGTCTGCTGTTAACTACAGTCACCCTGCAGAGGCCTGAAGGTGTCTGCTCTTTGCTTTTACGTTCCAAAAACAAGCTGCGCAAACGAAGCGATCCAAAACTTTACTTGTTCTTCCAAAATCACACTTAGTGAGGACCTTGTGCACCGTGGTTATCAAAACGCTAAGACGCAGTACGATCTGGAGAAACGCCACGGTCAGTCAGCTGTTGTAACAGGCTCATCACAGCATTTACTGTAGGTAAAACTACAAAACCAAAGTTAAAAATATATAAATAATGACAATATTTCAGTATATTTTTACTTCAATTTTTTTTTTCAGGTAAAACTATAAACCAAAGTCAAAAATATATGAATAGTGAAAATATTTCAGTAAACTTCAATTTTTTTTTTATACACAAATAACACAAGTTTCAGACAGTTGTATAGATTCTGAGGTAGAATTCAGTATGAAAGTAGATAAAAGTAATCCTCGATACATAATCTGAGCCCTTTACGTCGTACAAGATCTTTGCTTAAAGCTTTGGCACCCCTGTTTGTCTGTTAGTAAAATATCTCATGAACAGCACACTCTCAGGAAGTGGACACGCGTCTACAACTGATTGACTTTTGATCTCAGTCCAATTTAAAGATGGCCGCTACAGCTGATTAAACTCACCCAATGAAAAAATAACTATAACTTGGTCAATTACTGATTCTGAGCTGACAGTTGATGTGGTAGTAGCTGACAGTCATGCTGAAAGTCTTGCAGTAAATTAGTTTAAAACTCTTGCATGAAAGGTGGCAGGTGATAATCATTCCTTCAAGGAAGGCTTTTAACCGAGTATTTTCATCTGCACTTTTTATGTTTTAACACAAAGGAAAATATTTATAGTTAAAGTTTCTTCTTCTACACTTTCACAGTTTTTGTCCTTAATGTGAATACTTTAGTTCCTATACCATCATTTAAAAATATATCTGATCTGTTTCCTTATTTAGAGAAGACAAACAACCATAATGACTAACATCTAAAAGGACCTTTTAAACGCTCCTCCACCTCATCACTGAGGAGAGCTGACTCACATCTCGCCTCCCTGCAGACTTCATGAGCATCTGGATCCTTAGCTGCCTCTGTTTGTTTTTCCTCTGTGAGTCGTCATCTGCTTTCATTTCCTCCATCTCCTCTCTGGCTCTCCGACCATGGGAAAAGCCTTCTGAGATCAATAGTGGAGGCTTTTCTCTCACTTTCTTCTGCCCTGTGTTTGTCTGTGGGCCAAACGCAGCTCCCTGTGGGACGCCTGAAGAGACGCTCACTTCCTGTGGTGGTTCTCTGCCGCATCGTTGCAAATGTATCGAGAAGAGAGGCTGCATTTATCAGGCAGAGATGTTCCAGCAGAGTGGAAATACATGTCTTTTTAGCAGTTTGTTCCATCAAAGAGCAGGAAGTGAGAGGACATGAGGTCTGTTCCTGCTCCTCACTCCCACACCACATGTTGCTTCTCTCATAGATCAGACCGAGCTGACGCTCTCTGGTTGTCTGGTGTGGACATACAAAACTTTCAAGAGACATTGGAAATGTTGCAGGAGTGGCTGCCACCTAAAGGGGCCCCTCGAGTTAAGATGTTGTTTATCTGCCAAATACAGAAAGGGAATCAATAAACAGGAAATCTGAGAATGTTTTGAAGCAGCAGTGCTGCTGCAAAGTCCTCCCCACTCCTCCCACACACACACACACACACACACACACACACACACACACACACACAC